TTTTTTAACAAATTTGTCCAGTTTTATTGTTGCTATTTTGGAAAGAGTACTTGCTGAGTGCATCATTCAGCCATTTTGGAAGTATCTGCCTCTCAACCCCTGGAAATAATTATGTGTAAAACAGAATTAGAAATTTAAACTTACTATAACCAAGTAGAAATAACTTTATGTTTATTTTGCTTTTGGATTGTCTGGTTTCTAGTGAGAAGCCAGATCGCTGAGTTTGAAGTAATTGTGGACCTCTTGAATCTGTGTATCCCTTTACTTTTCCAAGTGCTCCATTCAGCAAATATTTATTAAGCAGCTACTTAATCATCTTAACAGACCAGTTAGGTATGTCCTCCCTCCCTCCCCCATTTTACAGATGAGAAAAATGTCTTATAGCTGTTGAGTGATTTGCCCAGTGGGTCAATGGTAGCCTCAACACCAGGGCACAACTCTCTTGATGTGCACTCCTGGCAGAACTTTGGGGCCATAGAGTTGGGTAGATGATGGGAACAGCTCCAGGTTAAAATGTGATAGCCTCTCACTGTCCTTGTTGAGGTTCAAGAAATATTTCTGCATAAATGCTTTTCACTCTGTTCGATGCCTCTAGTCAATTTCCAGAGTCTTTGCTTGATTGTTCTGATAAGATTCTCGACGGGTGCAGTTTGGAGGGCAAGGAGCTGATTCCCTGAGCTGCCATCGACTGTCCTTGGCAACCCCTTTCTCCCCCGGACCTTCCCAAGCCTTACCAGTGCCCGCAGTGCGGCAAGGACTTCAGCCACCGCTCCAACTTCAGCCGTCACAGGCGCAGCCACAGCGGCGAGGAGCCATTCCCGTGTCCGCAATGCAACCAGCCCCTGAGCTGGAGCTCGGACCTGACGCGTCACCTGCGCACGCACAGCGGCGAGCGCCCATTCCCGTGCCCGCTGTGCACCCGAAGCTTCAGCCGCAGCTCGTCGCTGCTCACGCCCCGGCGCGTCCACACCGGGGAGAAGCCTTCCAAGTGCTGCGACTGCGGGAAGAGCTTCAGCCAGAGCTCGTGCCTCATCATCCAGCAGAGGGCGCACACAGGCGCGCGCCCCTGCCCCTGCGGTGACCGCGACCAGAGCTTCAGCAGCCGCTCCCACGTCGTCCTCGCGCACCGCAGGGTCCACACCGGCGAGGAGCCCTATGGCTGTGAGGTGTGCGGCAAGAGCTTCAGGCAGAAGACAAACATCATCACGCACCGGAAGCTGCACGGGGTGGCCAGGCGGTCAGGGACGAAAGCCTGAGACTGCCATCTGGGGCTGAGCAGGGGCGACCCATTTCCTTACTTTCCATGGTTCTCTGACAGTTTCATGGGAATCGGTGTTTTCTCTCCAACCAGACAGCAAGCACCATCCGGGGAAAACCATCGCCCCACGTTGACATGGCATTCACCACCGTGTCAAGCAGAGTGATGGGCACAGAGAAAGTCCTCAATAAATGCTGGCAAAATTGAACAGTGTTGGGAATAATAAAAAGTATGTGGACTATATTTCTAATTCTTGATGAATACTTGCGTCTTGGAGAAGTCTCTTTCTTATTAATCCTCATTAACATCTCATTTATTTGTTCTGCGGGTTATCTGCTCTCCTGCATGCTGTTATATTCGCTCTTCAGTGTCCTGGCTGGTTTGGTTTACCTTTTGTGCTGATGTCAGTTTCCTGTAGCAGTGACGTGTGGAGTCTCTCCCTCTACCTTTCCATGTGTCCCAAAGCCACTGACATTTCAAGAATACCATCCTCTCCCCCAGCAAAGTCATCCAGAGTGAGCTAGACATCATGCTCTCTGCTGCCCTGTCTGACTCACTAATAAAAACACTTATTGAGACACTATTTTGTGCCAGATCCTAAGCTTGGTGACTTATAAGTCTGTGAATCCTCATAAAAACCCAAAGAAATAGCCTCTGTTGTTATCCTAACTTTGTGAATAAGGAAATCAAGGGAATTACATCATTCACCTGTGATCACACAGCTAATCAGCTGAAACAATTAAGACGTGAATTAAGTCTGTCTGACATCAAAATCTGTTCTCTTAACCACTGTGTCACACTGATTTCCATAAGAACTTGCCTTCATTGAAACTTTTCTGGCATCTCCTCACTTCTTAAGGAAATTTCTTTTTGCCTGGTGATAGATTTAATTAGGTAGTAATTAAAAACTAAGTGGCATGCTAACGTACTAGCCAGTAGTACCAGCCAGGAAGCAAAGGCCTTACCTGGATGCACAAATGTCAAATGACTAAGAATCATCACTGCGGATGTAAATTTTATTACCTGGATAGTCTGGTGGGGGTGATATTTTGTAACGTTTCCCCGAGTTGTCAACTTGCTCTGCTCATGACCTTGATTCTCCACTTCAGGTCTCTTGTTTCTTGAAAGAGATGTCAGAACTGAGCGTGTGAACCTGTGGGGTCTGCGGAGAGAGGTTTAGCTCCAGCAGCTCTTCCAAGGTGAATCTGTCTTCTTGCCACCGTGATCCTCCCCTAAGGCGAGGCCCATGTCGCCCCTCCTTGATCCTTGGTGACTTGGGGCTGACTGGGGGTGTGCGCGGCAGCCACCATCACCAGCCCATTCTCGAATCTGTGGGCCGCATTTTCTGGATGGTTCTCTTTGGGGCAGCCTTGACGTCAGTGTTCCGTAGGGTGTAGACGATGGGACTGAGGACAGGGGCGATCACAGCATAGAAGAGACAGCAGAGGGTCAGTGGCCGGATCGTAGCTGGCCTTAGGGCGAACATAGACAAAGATGGCGCTGCCACAGAAGAGCGAGACCACGCCCAGGTGGGAGGAGCAGGTGGAGGCGGCCTCACGGCGGCGCAGCTGCAGCAGCAGCAGCGGGGGGACTGGGACTGGCGCGCGGCGCATCCACAGGGCCCGGAGGCTTCGCGGGAGGAAGCACACGGGGGGCCCCAGGGCAGCGGCGGCTGAAACCCGCGCCAAGGGAAGGAGGTCGTCGGCCGCGGGGAGGGGGTCGCCGGCCGCGGGGAGCAGAGCGCGAGGAGCAGCCCCGGGGCGGGGACGGAAGAAGCTGGGAGGAGGGGCCGGGCCACCGCGGGGCGTCGCTGCTCGTCGGCCGCCGCCCTCTGGACTGGGGGACGGAAGGAACGAAGGAGGAGCCGCGACCACGCGGCTGTGAGGGGGCGAGGACGCTTCCTTCTGCGCCTGCGCGGGGCTGGAACGCCCTTTTCTCTCGGAATCTCGGGGCCTTTGAAACGGGGCCGCCCGGCTCGAGGCCGCGTCCCGCCCCGACTCGCGATTGCGGGTGAAGGTTCGTTCCCTGGGCCCGGCTGCCCCACTCGCCTTCCTGAAGGCGCCACCTTTCAGAAGGACACGTGAGCGCTGTTGTCACTTTCTCCTGGGCCGAGGGTCCGATCCTTCTAGAAGCCTCTTTCTCTTTCCTCCCTCCGCATCTTCCCCGCAGGACCGGGGCAGAACCTTCCCTCCAGCAGAAGTTTCCTGCTCAAAGCTGAAATGTGTTCCATGTCCAGGCATGAAGAATCCCATTCCAGTGCAAGGAAGCTCCTTCCCGGTCCTGCTCCCTCGTGACTCCTTCTGCTTCTGTGTTTTTTTTTTGTTTGTTTGTTTGTTTTCGTTCCTTCTTCCACACGTTTCTCTCTCCTTCCTCTTCTCCTGGGCCGAGGGTTCGATCCTTCTAGAAGCCTCTTTCTCTTTCCTCCCTCCGCATCTTCCCCGCAGAACCTGGGCAGAACCTTCCCTCCAGCAGAAGTTTCCTGCTCAAAGCTGAAATGTGTTCCACCTCCAGGCATGAAGAATCCCATTCCAGTGCAAGGAAGCTCCTTCCCGGTCCTGCTCCCTCGTGACTCCTTCTGCTTCTGGTTTTTTTTTTTTCTTTCTTTCCTTCTTCCACACGTTACTCTCTCCTTCCTCCCAACCCGCCTCCTCTCTCACCCGCTTCTCACCTCTTCGCCTCTTTTTTCAGCTCTTTCTTTAGTTTCCGGATCCACTCAGCCTCTCTTCTGTCTCTGTCATTTTACCAACAGGTAAGTGTCATAGTTTTCAAGGGACAGGAAAGAAATTTGAGAGATGATCTCTTTCAAGCTTCTGCAGGCGGTTAAGCAGTTCAGTTATCCAGAAGAGTGTGGGTCTCTCTAGTTTCCAAAAATACTCAAGAAGAAGATAAGACCTTCCTAAATTGCTCATTTCTGCGTCTTACAGACTTCACACTCCTACATTATTACACTTATGCAGATCCCCAGACCACACGTGAACTCCACAAATTCACACACTAACTTACATTTCTAAATACTACCATAGAAGAAAGGTTAACACAATATCCCAGATGCCGTATTCACCTAAGGTCACAAATAAGCCATGTACTGTATATGCATGCAAACGTAATCACAAATAACAGTGAGTGTCAAAACACATTTAGCATTAAAATATAAACATTCAAAGATATATTTAAATAGATGCATAAATCCAAAATCTGTACAAAAATATAATCATATTCAAGAATATACATCGGAAATACACGCCCACAGACTGATATCTTTCTGCAGTTGGAGAATCCTCTGTTTATTCCATGTCAGGGGCTCTTTCAGTGTTTTCCAGGGGATATCATCTGAATAGTGTCTTTCTAATTGGAGAAATAACTGGTGATAAAGGCAGACAGCATTCGATGACTTATTTTCTCCTTTCTCTACACAGGGGATCCTCATGAGAAAGGTGCTCTTAGGTTTGACGTCTCTTTAAGGTCTCTGAGGACCTGAGTCTCCAAGCATATTTGGCTTTCCAGTGGGGAGAGCTCTTCATATAACTAATTAATCAGTTATTTTGGAGTCTGTTTCTTAGAGCACAAGAAGTATAGGATGACTTGTCAAGAGCATCCCAGAGAAAATGTTCAGGGCTGTTGATTTCTCTTGGCTCTTTCACAATATCTCTGGTTCGACCATTTTTATTTTCTTCTCCTTTCTCATGGTTTTCTTCTTTCCGTTGCTGTAGATGTCCTGGTACATCTACAAAAGGTAATGATGCAGTTTTACCCACCTTTTTGATATTGATATAACTTAGCAATCAGTTTATTTGATAACCCTTCATAGAGTCCTTTGTTTAGTTCAGTCATTTTACAGAGACCTAAGAATATAAGAGAGAATAAACATATTTTTAAGTTAAGTGAGCTGGTAAATATCATTTTCTTGAAAAACTGTCTACTTTTCTTGCTTTGATTTTTTTTTTCATTGACTATACAAGAGCTTTCTTTGCATTGTCATCATTTGGATTTGTTGTTTGACTTGTTTCTTAACATTTTTATAGTTGTGATAAAGCCTGTGTGTCAGATGGGATGTTTCCAAGACATGTAACAACCATTACAACAAAAAGCCCCAAACTCAAGCTGGTTTGAACAATAAATTCATTTATCGGTTCATATAACAAGAAGTTCAGGTTTACTTATACTAGGTTTTCTGCCTAGTTTCCTTCTAATTCCTTTGTTTGTGCTCCTGTTATTTGGTTTGGCTGAAAGTAATGGGAATACCAGTGGCTCAAAAAAGATGAAAATTTATCTCTTAATTATATGTCTGAAGTTTTGAACTTCAGTCCAATATGGCTGCTCTGGTCCAAGAAGTCCTCAGGAATCTGGTCTCATTTCAGTCCATCAAGACTCCTGTTCCTCTTATGTCTTAAGATGGTGACATCCATATTACAGAGAATAGAATGGAGCAAAATAACCTGGATTTCTACGTGCCCAGGAAACAGTCTGTTAGTGTAATCTATGTAGTATTCTTGCCAAAGATGTTTAACTTGAGTATAATTATAGGGAAACAATCAAATAAACCCAGACTGTGGCACATTCTAAAGACAATTAACACAGAGTCTTCAAGAATATCAAAAGATATTTTGTCTTCTTTAAAGAAAAAAACAAAGGTGCAGGGTGATATTGTTCCAGATTGAAAAAGACTAAAAAGTATCACAATAAAATGTAATACATGATTCTTGACTGGATCCTAGATCATAAGCAAAGCAAAAATGAAACAACTTTAAAAGACTTTTGAAACAATTGGGAAAATTGAATATGAACTTTATATTGTTGTATCAATGTTAGATCCCTTGGATATAATACTAGTATTGTGGTTATGTAGGAGAATGTACTTGTGTTTATTTAGAAAGATGCAGAGTAAAGTACTACAGGGCAAAGGGTCATGCTTACTGCAACTCTTTTAAGTGGGTTATTTAAAAAATATATATACATATTTTTATGTGAGTCCTTGACTTTGCTCTGCGGGATGTTTGTCTTGTCAGTTATTCTCCTCGTCCTTGTCTGAGGAGGCTGCATACATTTCACACTCTTCCTGTTACTTGAGTTTTGGAGTGTATTAGCTAGGCTGGGCTATGCTGCAATAACAAGCAATCCAAAATCTTAATAGCTTAATACAAAACAATTTATTTCTTAATTATGTGGAATCTTCTGTGGGTTCAGATGACTCACTAGGATAGATGTCCTGGCTCAGCATTTCATGCAGCTTTGACTTGATGGCATCCCCATATCAACACTTGCTTCTATAATTTTCACAGCAGGGAAAAGTGGGCTGGAGAGGCAATCATCAGCAATTAAATTGTACCACTTCTGACTACATTTTACTGGCCTGAGCATGACATATGGCCACGTCTAACTTTGCAGGGATTGTGTCAGCTTGTACTTCCCAAAGATACCCATAAGTATTCTTCCTCACTCACATACTCTTCTATAACATCAGCTTGGCACTTACCCATCAAGAAGTGACTCCCTCCACTCACTTAAATCTGGGTGGACTTTAATTATTTCAACCAATAGAGCATTGTGAAAATGACACTACATGATTTCTGAGGCTGGTCATAAGAGGTGTTGCCACTCTGCCTTGTTTCCTGGAATATTCATGCGTGGACCCCTGAGCCACCAAGTAAGAAATCCAGTTACTCTGAGGTTACTGTGCTGTGAGGAGCTAAAGCCATGGAGAGGCCACAGGTAGGTACTCTAGTGAGGAGTCATACTTTTTGAATTATCTTAGACCAGTATTAGACATGTGAGTGACGATTCTAGCCAAATGATTCCAGATCCTAGCTGTCAAGTCACCCCCAGTCTTTAAGTTGTCCAAGCTGAAGACTTATACATTGTGGAGTCAAGACAAGATATCCTGATCTGCTGCTATAGAATGAATGCTGTGTCTCTCCCCCTCACCCCCAACTCCTGCCCACATTGATGTGTTGAAATCTAATCTCCAATATGTTGGTATTAGGCGTCAAGGCCTTTGGGACATAATAAGGTCATGAGGGTGGGGCCCACATGAAAGGGATTAGTGCCATTATAAAAGAGACCCCAATGAGCTCTCTCACACCTTCTGCCAGGAGGATGCAAGAAGAAGATGGCCATCTATGAACTAGGAAGCAGGCCCTCATCAGACATCAAATCTGCTGGTGCCTTGATCTTTGACTTTCCAGTCTCCATGACTGTGAGAAGTAATTTTAAGCTACCCAATCTATGATATTTTTGTTGTAGCATTCTGAAAGGACTAAGACATCTGCCTGTCAAATCTCTGACCCAGAGAATTTGCATATATAACAAGACATCATAGAATAATTTTTTTGTTTTAAGCTAATAAGTTTTGAGATAGCTAATTATACAGTGATCGTATACAGAACATGTAATGATACCTGGAAGTGGGATCTATTGTAAAAATAACCTAACATGTGGCATTGAGTAGCATTCTGAAAGGACTAAGACTTCTGCCTGTCAAATCTCTGACCCAGAGAATTTGCATATATAACAAGATATCATAGAATAATTTTTTTGTTTTAAGCTAATAAGTTTTGAGATAGCTAATTATACAGTGATCGTATACAGAACATGTAATGATACCTGGAGGTGGGATCTATTGTAAAAATAACCTGACATGTGGCATTGGCTTTGGGAGCAAATAGCAAAGGGAACATGGAAGAGCCTTTGGAAGATTGTTAATGAGGAAAGTAGGGAAAATGTTCAAGGAAAGTGAGGAAAATGTATTTGGAAACTGGAGAAAAAGAGATCCTTGTTATACAGTGGCAGAAAATTGAGCAAAACTATAACATATGGCAATGTGGAAATAAAAAATGGGCCTAATGAGCTGATGGGTCTGGCTAAGGAGATTTCCAGAGTGTTGAAAGTGTTAACTGGGTTCTTTTAACTGTATATCAAAGGCATAGGTAGAAGGGGATGAGCTAAAGAAGGACTCTTCAGTTTTTAAGAAAAAATGTTAAAAAATCGGCAGCCAGGACTTGGTGGGTTCAAAATACAGATGATCTCCAACTTAAGATAGTTTGACTTACAACCTTTCAACTTTACAAT